GGTGGTGGTGGTGGTGTTGGTGGTGGTGGTCCTGGTTTTACCAGAAATATATACGTATACGCCAGACTGGATTTTGTCTTATTTTGTGGTTAGTACTGCTGGCACTAACTGCTGTGTTAACAGGGGAGGGTTAAGGAATTGCGCACTTCACCTATCTGCTACATACTATACCTGCGGGAGGCTAGCATTGAATAGCACAGTCATTCATTTACACAAGAAGCAGATTGTATACTTTGTTCCTTGTTGGGCCGTAATAATTTCTTCATGAAAATTTCACAGTATGCTGTCTTTTGCGCATTCTAGGCCTACAACACAAGTATTGCCTCATTAACTATGAATCGATGCACCAGAATAACCGATTTTGACTGAAAGGCAGAATTCGGACTATTGCTATGCGGTATAGTACCCGACGAGACAATAAGGTATGACGGGAACGAACTTCATGTCATACCCTTCAGCTTGTGGTAATAAAAATAGGTTTGACTCCAAAGAGGAGTGCAAGGCAAGCCGTAAGAAATGAATGTACGTAGTCGACGACGCGGGATATCTGCCTAACATCATACTGTACTGTGATGTTCGGTGATGATGATGCCAAATTAAATATATAGGCGAGACTGACGTGTGTCTCAAGGTAAAAACTACATGCCAAATAGCGCAAATGACTACTCACTCATGCAAGCGTATGGTATGGGCACTATGAAAGTTAAGTGGTAGTTTTCGAGTGCCATGCTAACAAATGGGGTTAACAATAGGCGCCCTTGGATAATGAGTTTGAAATCCTCGGTTGGCTCAAATGGAACAGCGGGATATCCATCTACACCTGAAGCAGTTTGTATGCTTTTTTACCAATTGGATCATTAGGACATATCATATTTTTACCGTCTTTTGAGCATACTAGGCCTTGAACAAAAGCCAAACGTTCGTATCTGGGTTGCTTCAAATGACAAATAGTCAAAACATTGACAGAACGGTTAGGACTAGCTCAGTTTCTCCCCTCTTTGCCAGTCCAGTTCGCCTAACTATCTGAATGAACTTCAACTTACTGCTAAATTGCTGCCCCTGCAAGGGCTTCGATCACCACTTTCTAACATAAAGTTCCTTCAGCATGGCGTTTCAGCAAAAATATCATCTATTTGATCGTATAGCATTTCGGTACGCAAGCCCCATATCGACAGTTCCCCCATCGATTTCGACGATGGGCACCGCGGGCTCCAACAGCC